ACACTGGTTTAAAATGGTGTGGGTGGAGAAGCAGCACTTATGTCTCTACTGTAGCTCTACCAGTTACCCTAGTGGTTCATATTCTACCCACACTTACACATTGAGGATCTGTCTCCACCAGGTGGCTGGACTACATACAGTTTTATGAGTCTGCTACTGGTGTTGAGGTAAGAGACTTAGCATAGGAGTTCTCACTTCTGCATTGTAGAAACAGGAGAGCCTGACTCCTGAGGAAATTAATTCTAACTGTAATTGCCCTTGGCCATTTCCTGCTCTTTAGTCTTTCCTGTTTTCTCTTATCAGAGGTCCTCCTGAGAAGTGTGTAAAAGAGTGAGAGAGAGGGAGGAAAAGGGTTGCATTCTCCAGGTTCTTTTATTTTTTACATTTTGCTTGCTAATGTACATGGGAATTTCTCTATTTTGGCCTCATGTTTCAGAAAAGTTTATAAAAATATATATGCTACTGCCACTAGTACCCAGAGCAGCTTCTACCCATACCAAGTCTATTGGAAATTCAGAAAGATCATTTATTATTCATTAGCAATAACATGTTTGCACTTCTATGAATTAGGGATGAGCATGAACTGGTGTCAAAAATTAACTCCCGTCTCAATAATTTAGCCCAGCTGATTGGTGGTTCAGATCTGAATTTGTTTTCTATCACAGAGTCCCACACAGTGTTTCTTCAAAATCTAACTTGATTGATAATACAAATGACAGATGTAGAAGAGATGAGTTTTGATATGGGATATTGGCTTTCAAACATGGAAGACTGCCATACAAAAACCACAGCATGGAGAGCAAGAAAAACACCTGGAGCTGAGCTGGTGTTGTGTTTCTATTTGACTTCCAAAAACCTAACTCCATATCCAAATTGCATAACACAAAGTAGTTTAGGTCTGTTGTCTCAGCTTGGGCTGAGGTCCTAAAGGACCTCAGTTGATGCAGATTACATAGATTTTGGCAGAAAACACAAGGATAGGGGCTGTTTGTTTGGTTTTTAATACAATTGAGATTCAGTCCTGAGCTATTTAGAAAGGGAGATGAAAATTACACACTTTAAATGTAATAATATTTACACACTGATACTAAGTAGAGAATAACATAAGCAGAGATATGACTGCACCCTACTGTAGTGCTAATTAGAGACGGAAAAGGACAGCGTCCCAACCCAAGCCATCCATTTTCTCCAATTCCCCAAATTTTAATTCTGAATTTAGAAAAGGAAGCTTTTCTTTAAACAAACAGAAAGGTCTTAAGCATTACTTCACAACAGGGTATGTGGTCTCGGGATTGAAACACTGGTGGTCTGTGTCCTATTCCCAACTCTGTCACTCATCATGTGAGCTAAGTCAAGATACTTAAGCCAAAATCTTCAAATTTAAGTATGCAGAGTTAGTCACCTAAATCCATATTTAGACATCTACATGAATGTTAGCTGTTATTTTAAGTTGCTGAGCACCTGCAGCCAATGGTCCCTTTATTTTTTTCCATCCATGTGCAGAATAAATGTCACTATGTGCAGTGAGGCATGCACACATGTGCACCACCAACAGAAATATATACTACCAGCTGTGGGCACTCTGCTAATCAGCTCTTCTAGGTGGCTGCCCAAGCACACAGCTTACAGGGGACACTGCCTGCAGCCCACACTAACTTCAGGTGTATGCAAGTTGGGCGGTCGTACCTACAGAAAGATACTTGGCCAGGCAATTACCTCATTCAGTGCAGATGCCCATTACAGGATTTTGCAGATGACTGATGATATTCTACCACTGACTGAAAATCAGGGCCTGAATCTCCAAAGCATAAAGCACTTTAAAATTTATTTTGAATCTCATGTTATATTCCCCCTCTGCTACTCTGTACCTTTGAGACTCAGTTTTTATATGTGGACAAAAAAAAACCCTCTTTATCATGAGATCTGGAAGCAGTGGCTTCATTGGCAACTCTATAGCATGGTTTCCATTGGCAGATGTGCTTGAAGAAGTTTGAAATTTGCTGGTAGGTTATCCATTGGCTCGGTGCCTGGATTTTTCACATCATCTTCATTGCCCATCTAATGGGCAAAAGTAGCTTTGCACATATGGAGGGAGCTTGTCCTTGCAGAGTTTAGATCTTTGGTAACAGCTCCCAACTGCTTTACGTGTAATTATTTTTGTTAGTTTAAGAGCAATGGGGTGGGGGTGAGGGGAGAAAGTCGGAAAGGTTGTTTACACAGGTTACATTAGCATCCTGTTCTGTTTGATTACTGCAGCTTTGAGATTGATGCCAGACTGCAAAGCCTCTAAGGACTGGGAAGGGGATGTACTGTGGAGAACAGCTGGGCGCCTGATCAGGAAATCACAAATGTAACCTGTTTGTTTGTTACTTTTCTGATCTCTGGTGTATCTATTTTCTGACTCATGTGCTGTGTTTTCCTGTGATGCATTTGGAATGGAATAGTTCAGTTCTGCTGAGTGACTGTTCAGAATATGATGGATTTTCTAAATAGTTTTAGGAGTGAAGGTTTATATGGGAGCAAAAGGTGTTGTCCTACAATTCTACGAATTTACAGATCAGTGTAAATATTAGGAAGCCACCTAGAAATGAGCCTAGCAAATGACTGACAAATAAAGGAAATGGAATGACTAAAGGGAGGGATTTCTACTGATGATTGCTGTCTGAAAGAAATCTCAAGCTATAGGCCACATTGTCCCCCCACTAGTGTGAGTATATGGGAAGGAAGCCAGAATCCCCAGCTTCCCCAAACATACCACACATGGACCAGATAATTCTAATATAATTAACTCAAAAATATGCACTCTAAGCCGACTAATGTTTCCTGAACACATCAACTGAGATGCAGAATTTAGGAAGCACACGTATCCCTGAAATATGTCTGCAGAGTTCTCAAAATCACACCGTGGGTGACTTACGAAGTTTGCATGTCCCATGACAGCTTTCTGAGAGAGAAATGGGACTCATCTATCACACTGGAATAATCTGTGGCATTTCCCTCAATATTGGTTAAGTCCTCTGTGAGGCAGAGTGATCTGTGGAATACACATGGGATTGGGAGTCAGGTGGTCCTAAGTTTGTGCCAGCTTAAGTAGTTACTTGCTGTATGACCTTGGCCAAATTACTTCACTGCACTGTTTTAGTTTGCCGTCTCCATCCATAATAGGGAACTAATATTTGCCATCCTTATTTCACAAGGTCAATATTGGTTAAGTCCTCTGTGAGGCAGAGTGATCTGTGGAATACACATGGGATTGGGAGTCAGGTGGTCCTAAGTTTGTGCCAGCTTAAGTAGTTACTTGCTGTATGACCTTGGCCAAATTACTTCACTGCACTGTTTTAGTTTGCCGTCTCCATCCATAATAGGGAACTAATATTTGCCATCCTTATTTCACAAGGGTAGTGT